ACCAGGACAGTGACCTCTTTGGAATTCGCTTGCTGTTGAATCAAATGGAAATTATCAATTAAAATGTGTGGACTGAATCAATCAAAAGGAATCAACGTACTATAGCCTTGGCCCAGGCATATGCTTTTCGCATTGTGATTAGAAAGTATTCGTCCGAATTCTCTGGATTTATATAGACCGAGGTTTCAGCGCTTCCAGAATGTTCTTCAGAGGGTGAGTGTACCAAGAAGATTTCTTGCAAGAGCTGGCTGAGGGCTGCTGTGTTCATTGCACTCGGTGATGGTACCAAGACCGGATCATTCACATCAGCACTAGAGTCAGTATGGTTCTTTTCAAGTTGCTTATAAACCGATTGTTTCTACATTTGGAGGAAGAAACTTTCCAACAGTCAGAAAGTTGACCGATAGCCCATCACAAAGTGAAGTTAAGAAAACACACCTTTGCAATGTCCTTTGGGTCTTTTTGTACCAAGCGACAAACGATCTTTCGGGTCTCGGAGGTCCCTTCGGCAACAAGAAGAAAGTCCTTGAATGTTTCCACGGAGTCGAGTCGTCTTTTGTGGTTACCTGCAAAGGCTCCTCCAAATGGGATAACGACGTTCCAGAAGATATTTCGGGCATTCTCTTGACGTTCAACAAAAAAACCAAGAAATTTGTCCTCCTCGCTCTTGATTCCCCGGATTACTTCAGCTTTAAAAGCATCGAGATCCTTATCGATGACCTTCCAGATGATGACGATCTTCTCGTTTTCCGACTGGATTTTATCGGTGGTGGGAATCGGGGTCTTTGAAGGAACCGTTATATTTCTTCTTTTTTGGGACTCCTACTCGCCTCCTTGCCAGGAACATAGAGAGTGAACTCGACATAAACAGGAAAGCTTTTATTTCCATCAGCGGAACCTACACCAGAAACCGATACTCCTGGAGTTTGAATCTCAACAGGCTGGTCGGACGTGCTCGATTGAGTAAGGATCGGCCGGCATTCTGTGCTTGCCGTTTCAGTCAAGTGGGCCGTTCCATCGAACAAAACCGGAATGTGTGGGCCTGGGATAGAAGGACAATCTTGTCCAAATGTTCCGTCTTCATTCATTTGGTTTTGAAGCCATTTGTATGCTGCTTGTCGAGATGGAGAAACGGGTCGATCGTTGGGCCTAGATGACATCTACAGAATCGAATCGATCAACTTTAGTTTATCCAAATGCAAATAAGGGGAAATGAAGGATACAATACCACTGGAAATTGTCTTGAGTTTTGGTATTAAAGGATGGGTGAACTGAACAGATCGATGGAATGGTCAACAGCACCGGGCTGAGTATGTAGCTCTGTTCTAGATGCAGCCAATGTGGCTGAATCGGAGATGACGTCACAGATATGCACAGCAATTAGGCTTTTTCAGCCGCAGAAAACTTTTTTCATTTGTGTGCAAACTTTTTTTTTTTTTTTGAAAAAACAGCAAGCATATGCAGAACTGCTGTATTGGCCATATTCAGGTCAACAAATATGAATTGGCCTCTAGGATGAATACTCAACTCATGGGTGCTCCTAGGAAGAAGCCCTTTTTTGAGCTCATCAGATCTGGTATGTTGATTTATTTATTTATTTATTTCACTGTTGGTTGGAATTTCTTAGCTGACTTTCTTGATTTGTTTCTAGCTCCTGGGTTGATCCAGGTTTCTTATCCTGATCCCTTCTGGAACAAAGATCTCATTGACTTTGAGAAGATCCAGACTGCCTCCAAGGAGAATCCCAAGGACCCTGTGGGTGGTTGGACAGCCCTCCTCAACTTGATCTGCAGAGCTGAAGGTGACAACACCTTGGGTTACACCACCCATGTCTCCAGGAAGGCTCTGATTGCTGCTGCCTTCAACCGTGTCAGTCAGCTCACTCGGGACTCTGTGGCTGCAATCTCAACCAACATCAAGCCCCCTAAAGAGGACCCAAAGGCCCCCAAAACCGATCTGGACGGTCTCCGTAGTGCTGGGAAGTTTTTGCATCACCGAATCGAAGCGCTTGGCGGTAGCACTCCTACCTCTGGGAAGAAGGGGCAGGTCAAGGCCTCTGAGGAGGGCATCTCCTTTCTCCAAAAAAGGATTTTTGAAATGCTTTTGGGAATTGCTCTGTGCATGGAATGCAATGAGCTTTTCAAAAAGGAGAAGGAGTATGAGAGGTTGCCTGGATTGACTCAAGAGGAAATCAAGGCTAAAAAAGCCGATCTTCAGTCGGTTGCTGTCTTTCGCGCTGGTCCTGGAACTCTCTCTGCGGTCGACTGGTCTATTGCCAGAAAGGAGGCTTACGGTGCTCTGTCCATTTTCTTGACATTTGGAGTGGCTGGGTGGTTTTCTTCTTTCACCAACCATCGAAAGTACAACCTCGCCGATTGCTATGGCCTCATCACTCTTGCCGATCAACGGATCGAACAACTCAAGAAGATCCCTGCCGATGGGATTGAGACGACCCATCCTTTGGTCTCGGGCGGCTGGAAGTATCTCAATGGCTTTCTTCTGGGGGTTCTCAATGCCTCCAAGATCCCAACAGCAGACTCTGCTCAATGGGGGTTGATGAGCAAGAGATGGGCCGAGACCTTGACTCCTGCCCAGATTGGTGAATTAGTCCTGGCCGATATTTTTGCTGAAGTTGCTCAACCTGGTCCCTCGGTGTCGTTGACTGGAAAATACGCTGTCCATCCGGTTATTGATGCTGGAACAGAAAAAAACAAAGATGGGGTTTTGCAGATCTTGAAAAAGACTATGCCTTTCTTGCTCAAGGGATCCCATGGTGGGTTGGGTGATGGTGAAGAAGATGAAGATGAAGATGAGGAGGAGGATGAGGAGGAGGATGAAGAAGAGGAAGAAGAGGGGAGGGAGGAGCGCGCTGAACACGAACGCAGGGCGCGAGAAGCAGTCAAGCAATTTATTCATGAAGAGGCTGTCTGTTCTGATGATTGATTTCTCAGTTGTCTTTTGATTTCATTCCTTTATTATTACTTGTCTTTGGTTTCCTGTTTCGTTCGTTATTCAATTATTTTTTTGTTTTTATTTTGTTTGGTTTGGCCTGCTTTGCTTTTGTTTGTTTTTTCCTTATCTTTACTGTTTTTTGTCTGTTTGTTAATGCTATTATCTTGAATATAATGCATTTTCTTTGCTTCTTTAGTTACGGGTCAGCTAAGTTGGCCACTTGGGAGGTGCCATTTGCCTATAAATAGACCCCCCCCGGGGCCTCAAATGGTCTATTTGAGCCAAGCCTGCTTGATTGAGTCTACAGCCCCTAGCACTTAAGAGAGATAAAAAATGCAGCATTATCGTTGTGCTCAGTGTCCTGCTATCTTTTCTTCAATTTCTTCACGTAAGAATCATGTAAGACACGCACATCAATCAACTGTCCATACCAAGGATATACATGGCTCTGAGGTCATTATTGAAAGAGTCAATAATCGCTTTTCGTGCCCTCAAGTAGCTTGCTCATACTCTACTGTCAAAGCATCTTTGATGCAGACTCATTATCATAATTGTCGATCCAAAATTCGTACTTCTGCTCCTTCTGTGGCCAGCCATATTCCTAGGGTGGTGGTTCAATCTAGAGTGATTCCTGCTGGAAGCCAAGTGCAAGGTGAGTGGTTTTGGATGAAAAATATATATAATCAAAACAGGTCGGTCAGCTAATGCTTCTTCTTTGTCTGTCTAATTCTGATTAGAGCTTGCTGGTTGGATGGAGTTTGGGGTTTATTATCACAAACTGGCCAAGCTGTTGTTGTGCTCAAATGATGGTTGCCATGTCTGTGTTAAAGTTGAAGAGATATCCTCTCATCTCCAGACTCAACATCATATCAAATGCATTGTGGAAGAAAGCATGCTTGATGACATAGTCCAAGCTCCTCCTCAAGACATTTACAATCTTGAGCAGCCCATTGCTCCTTTCCGAGGAGTTCGGATGTACATGGGGTTTGTATGTAATGTGTGCTACTATGCTTGTGTCCAGTTGGATTCTATGCGGAAGCATTTTGTGGCCCACCATTGGGTTCCAGGTAAGAGGGTTCAGTTCACTTTGAAACACAGAGCATGTTGTTGATGATATTTCCTTTTCTGATGTATGTATGTAGAGTTCCAAGATGGAGGCTGGAGAAATAATATTAGCCAGTCTTGGGTTCAGACTCTTCTGCGGCACCAACATCGTCGATTTTTCCATGTTCTTCCAACTCATCCAGACGACGATATTATCCCAGACTCAAACGCCTCTTCCAGTGTCATTACCAGTCGCCAGGCCAGTGGCCTTTTGGCCCAGCTTCCACCCCCTATCAGCATGACTTCTCTTGGAGTGCACAATCCAGCTGGGATTAGGGACACTCCAACTTGGTTAGTCCAAACTGGTATATTGGCCTTTGTCCAGGAGGCTGTTGCTGGAGGATTGACCCATAATCAGCTGGCTCAGATTTTTAGTGAAGGACATCAGTACTATTTCATAGTGTTTGATGCTGTTTTTTCATGGCTGGCAGACCAGTCAGCCAACTTGCCAAAAAAGAGTGTGCATTTAAGATGTAGGGTTCTCTCTGTTAAGCGGTGAGCAGCCAGGATTTTTTTTTTTTTTCACAAGAGGGAAACATTACTTACTAATGTGTGTGATGCATATGATTTAGTGATGAGATTGGAAACAAACCACTTGGCTCCCTTGCGGCATCGGCGATCAAAAAATACTCTGGTTTATTGGCCTTGTTCTTTATCTTTTGCTTAGAAATATCCCATAACCCCCGACTTGGTCTTCCAGCTTGTATTATCAATCCATTAGCCCTCAAGCTTCTTGATCAGCTCCATGATCATCTTACAACAAGTCCACCTACCATCCCTTCTCACTTGATTCCTGAATGTCTTGTTGCTCTATTCATCCAATCAAATCCTCATGGTACACCAGACACCTGTTTTCATGTTCTTCAGTTTGTTGCTTTGTCAATGATCAAAGAAGATGGTTCCTTTCAGCCCCATGGCCTAGTGACTAGGCTCCTTGCTCCTCTTCAATACTGTCTTTGAGTGTCTTTTGTTGAATTGTACTTGGCTTTCTCTGCGTGCACTCCATCCCCCGATACCAACCTTGGACTGATCTTCCACAACGGTCTAAATGGCCAAGTCGAGAATATGTGGAACTATGTAATTGAAGGGACAGTCAACACACCATTCTGGGGTCTTCGATCCTGGATGCACCTAGTGCCATGCCCAGGGCCCTTGGGCCCCTGGGTGTGGTACTTGTTACCCTAGTGCCACGCCCAGGGCCCGCAGGGCCCTGGGCGTGGCGCCTGTTACCCAATTTGGGTGAGGAGGTAACAAGGTAACACCACTGAAAAAAAGTGTTCCCAAATGACCTAAAATCACTTTTGGGACACCTTAGGGTTACAAGGGACTCCCCAGGGCCAGGGTAGCAATATTCTACCAATTTATATTGCATAATAAGCTCCATATTGCATAATAAGCTTCATATTGCATGATAAGCTTCATATTGCATGAAGGATTGCATTGCATGATGAATTAAATTGCATACGCCCCACTGATCAGTGAGGAATTGCATATCAAAATGCTTGCACAAAATCCAACAAAGTTATGCAATGATATTGCCCAAAGCTGTATTTATTGTCACCATCTGTATTGCTGTATCCATTATGACCATTTTTTAATGGTCATAATGCATGCCAAAACTGTATTTATCATCACCATTTGTTGGTGGCATCCATTGGCACATGAGTTGCTTGCTCTGTGATCTTCAATGGGAATTCATTATGCCCAAAGCTGTATTGCTGTATCCATCATCACTGTATTTTTTTTGGTGACATCCATTGTCAAATGACCCGCACAATTTTTTTTTTTTGGCGCCAGGGGGTTTTGAACCCGTGACCTCCTCAAAAACAATGCCAAGCCGCTGTCTAACCATTGGTTTATTTCAACTTGGTATTCTTTTGTTCCATGAGGGAACACAACCACAAGGCCTACTTTTTTCACTTGGTCACTAACAATTCAAACTAACATACAACACTTTCATATTCCATCACACAAAAATCAAACAAACATCCATCTGATTTCCTCTTCTCATCTCACTTCACTTTATCAACTTCTACACACACCAACCACATTCCTCCTCCAATATCCAACAAACATGTCAGTATTTATATATTTCATCTCTCTTTTTTTTTCTCTTTCTCATCATAAGCATATTTCATAGCACACATTTCTGTCATTATTAGAATAAATTAATACTCACTTCATCACATAACCTGCTTGTTTTCTTATCTATTTATAGTTTGGGTTTGCTGATCCAGAAATACAAACTCATTCATCTTCCACTCATCCATCAACATAATCAACCACTTTCCCCCTCTGATATAAAAAAACCAAGCTTATCAACACAACTCACCCAACCAACAGCAACCACCATCTCAAAACACAACAAAACATTCTATCCAAACACAATTCATCTCTTCCAAGTCACCCCACCACATTCTCCCAACAGCAATAAAAAATGATCCAATCAGAAAAAATATAGATAATAACTTCCACATTTCAAATCAGCCAACAACAAATTACACAACGACCAGAGTCAACTTGCACAACAACACACAATCAATA